CGAGGAAATTTCAAATCTCATACCTTGATTTGGAACCAAAGTATAAAAATTTCCTACCTTAACTTGGAACCAAAGTATTAGGAATAATCATAGACTTCACTTTAAATGCACACAACAAAATGATTTCTAAGTTGAGTTTTCAAGGACTGTCACTAAACTAGATTTGTCATCATTAAGTGTATCATGAATAAACCATCGGTCTAATGACAACCTTGCTCATGAAGTTATCATTTGGTGGTGGGGGTTACATGCTTTAGTTTTGAATGACACCATATTGTCACATGTCAAACTGGACTGAGAAATTCAGGATGAGATGCTTGATATTTTTTTAAAGTTCATTAGAAGAAACAAAGATAAAAGGTAAATGAAATCATAAAGACTTATGGATTTAGAGACTATAAAATAACCTAAAAAAGAAAATACCTCTGAAAAAAACAGAAATTCAAGGAAAAAAAAATTAGAAGACTCAAAAAAATTTGGATAATTTTATGAGTCATGTTTGATGTATCGAGCCTTCTCAAGCTGTACGAAATGATATTAATCATGTAAATATTTAAAATGATAACAAATACAAAGAATTTAGTATAAAATTGAGATAAATGTGGGATTAATTGAGCCAATTCTTCTCACAAAGAGATGGAGTCGTTAGGGCTTGTGGTTTGATATTTGCACAAACTACAATAGAATAATTACAATTCTCTTGCATCAACTTTTCCTATTTTGGGCTCGGGACCTAAAATTCTATAAGGTTTTTTAGATCTTTTTTTTTAACAATATTTATCTAACAAGAAAACATATGATTGTCCCTTACCTATATGATAGGTTTGTAAGTCTCATTGTATATGAGTTTTTTGTTATTAGAGTTGTACGTTAAACTTAAATCCTCTACATGATGAGGGTAAAGTCAATATGGTTCAGAGCTGGGTGGCTTTCTTCTCTCAATCGTTTATCTATTAAGGGTAGAGTTTAGAAAGCCCATAGCCTAATAATATTTCATGTCTTGATCCTTTATATAAGAAGGGAAGTGCATTCAGTTGGGTGAATCATAGCTGCCTCTATTATATCACTCACAGATTTGGGAAGGAGTTGTTAAGGGCCTTGACATAAAACCCCTCAAGTATAATGAAGTTGAACTCTTAAATATTGAGGTGCCTCTTTGTGTAAAGGTTGTGCTTGCTAAGGGTTAACTTTAGATTAATTTCATATTTCAGATTTTTGTTTGGATAGTTGCTGACGTTTTTTTCCCTTTAATGACTGTGTCTGAGGGATTGGGTGGTGTTCTGGCTGTATTTCTTTCTCGAGGTGGTGATTATCTTCCTCCTATTCCCTCTCGTATCTTCCGACTCCGGTTCCTGTTGTTGTACCTCGATACAACCACCCGCAACAACTCTCGGTTTGCTATTCTCTACTGCAGTTCCTCACCTACTAGCCACTTTCCCTTCCAGCATTGTTGTCGTCCAAATTGCACCTACTCCCTACTGTCCCAACCTTTCCACTTTGTCGTTGCTGCCCAGAATAGCCAGGGGCACCTCTTTCCCTATCCACCCCCACGTCTCGCTACCATCACCCAGGACATTCTCCGTACTATCCCAATATTTCTCAGTTTTCCCTTGCTGTCGCCACCCTGCCCCAATCATCCTGATCCCTCTCATCAACCTCCAACTGCTTGAGATACATGTTAGGGGTATTTGATACGTCTTTTTATGTTATCATTTTTTGTGTTTGAAGAGTCGTCGTTGTAACCGTACTTGAATTTAAAAATAATATTTTTATTTCTATTGTGGTTAGGGTTGACTCTGTTATCATTTGGTATAAGAGCTAGCCTAACCCTAGTCCTATCCTAGGGTTTTCTAGCATATCCCCCTTACCCAAGCCGCTTCTACCAAAAATTTTCATTCATATAACTCACCAAACTATAGCCAAATTTTGACCTAACCCTAATTTCCATTTTGCTGATTCTCAAAATCATCAATCCCAAATTAAATTTTCTACACCTTCAATTAGTCTCATTCTCCCACTTTTATCTCCTAACCTTAAAACCTAGCCATGCCACCAAGGTGATACACGCCCGAGTCTACCCGAGAAGAGATATAACGGAAGATCCGTCAACTCCAGCAGAATCTTGCGGACATTAGGGACGAAACCCAGGGGAGATTAACCTCTTCCAAAATATGGAGAATCGAAGGGGAGCAATAGACCAGGGTCTGAATCCTTTCCATAGGGAGGTCTTTAGTGATACAGAAGACCGGCCACGATCCTTTGGAATCCAGTATCAAAGGAGGCCGAGAGAAGAGCCAACATATGGAGAACGGGAGAATCTGAAGTAAAGTGTGATATACAGTGCTAGTTTCTACTAGCTTAATATAGACATAAGATTCAGATTCTAGCTTTAAAAGTAGAAAGTCCACATCACCGTGCGACCACCATGTCTTACAGACAACAGTCAACCTCAAAGACACTCATATTACACCCAAGAGAACATCCAAGCTGACTCCGTCAGAGGCAAAGTTGAGTCAGAATGAAGAACAGAGAAACCAATTTGCATCCTCCAATCTGTCCCAACTAGGATTTGTTTCAAGTGCCATAGATTTGGGTATGTTGAATTAGACTGCACAACCAGGGTGATCTGTTTCACTTAGTAGAGCATTCTTGAAAAATTGGATAATGATACAGTAGAAATTGAGGATGACGAGTACGCGAAGGAGGACCAGCTCTCGGTTGAAGAGGAAAAATTGCATATAGTTCCAGATGAGCCCGTTGGAGAGATTCTAACCGACTTCATGATGAGCGTCCAAGGAAGTCTTGAGTTTGAGGAATTGACACCAGAGGCAAGGTAACCCCAGGCAAGAGAAATGCAGACCATTCAGATCATAGAATTATACCAGAGTTGCCCTTACTGAAGGAGGTCCAACACGTCAGAAATGGGGCTCTTTTGTGCCGTGTTTGGAAGATCACATTAAGTTATTCAGTTGTTAGATTCAATTCAGCATGATACCCATCATCATATGTTCGGACATGACAAATGAAACCCAACCTTGAAATTTGTCTTAGGAGCATGATGGGGAAGAAAATTCTTTAATGGGATCCATGCCCTATTAGTGGAGAAGAGGTCTCTCATGTGTGATTGCTAGTGTGAGTCGTGCAACCTGCCACAATTTTCACTTTAGAGTTGATTTCTCCTCACATATTAGTTTATCAGCTACATTCTGCTGAGTACGAAAAGTGCAAGAAGTTTCCAGTATTAATGGCTCAAGAAGTATATTTTGGGAACCTACATATATATGCAGTTCAGGCTTATGATGTGCCAAGAGATGATGCATATTTATTCTATCAAGATGTGTTGTGGAATGACCCCTACATGATTGACCTCCTAATGGATTACAATATATCTGTTACCATCGACGTTGTAGACTTCACTTCGTGCTACAAGGAACCAGAAGTTTCAACGAATGAAGTTGAAGCTTTCTCAACCTCGAAAGATTGACTTGGAAGATTAAGGAATCACAATACTGTAGCTGATATAGTATCTCAGATCCTTTTTTCTATTTAATCCTTTGTCTTTTTTATTCCCTTCCTATTTTATCTTGTGTGGTTTTGATTGCTTAGGGTTAGCTTTTGATTAATTCCAGATTTTTTATTTTTATCAGGACAACTGTCAACTTCCGTTTTCCCCTTTGAGGGTTGTATCCGAGGGATTCGGTGGTGCTTCGACTATATCTTCCTTCTAAGGTGGTGATTATCTTCCTTCGATTTTCTCTCGCATCCTACCACGCCACTCGCTGCCGCTGTACCTCACAGTAGCCTTCTGCAACTACCCTTGGTTTGCTGTTTTCTATAGTTCTCCTCCTTTCCAGCATTGTTGCCGTCCAAACCGCACCTCCTCTCTTCTGTCCCAACCTTCCTACCGTGCCACTGTCACCCAGGACAGCCAAGGGACACCTCGCCTCTAATGTCCCTTTGCTATCCACCCCAATTCTTCGCCGTCATCTCTCAGGTCAGCTCGTATACTTGCTGTCCCTTCAATTTTGCACTTTCCCCTTGCTGCCACCAACGTTCGTTTGTTGCCGCCACCCCCTCCAATCATTTCGATCCATCTAGTCGACCTCCACCACCCTGGATATACGTTTGGGGTGTTTGTTTGTGTCGTTTTTTGTTTGTTATCATTTATTTCCTGTTTGAAGAGTCTTCGTTGTAACCCTACTTGAATTCAACAATGACATTTCTATTTTTATTTTGGTTTGGGTTAACTCCGATATCACTAGGTATCTTTGGTTATTTAAGCATTATATAGCCAAAAAGGATCTATTTTGAAATTTGAATATGGTAACTGTCTACGTTGATTTTATTACTAGGGTTTAGGGTGTTTGAATCTGGTTACTTTCAAGTTCCAATTTTGGTTTCTCTGGCAATTAGAAATGGTCTAATAGAAATTGGAGATATTTCTTTTTTGATGGAAATGAAAAATGAATTAGTGAATAAAGGTTGAACCTGGAAAGAACAAAAGCCAATAGTTAAATGTTTAGTAGTAAGGAATAAGTATAGATCAACACATGGAAATTTTGTTATTTTTTTTTTTAATTTTGGTTGTCTTATAGTCTATAGTTGATGGCCCACATTTCAAGGATCAATGCACCACAAATACCTTTGAATTGGTCTTATTGAACAAGAAATAACAAGTATAAAAGATATCGAATAGAAGTTTCAAGGTCACACACATGATGTGCACCATGAGCTTGACATTATGGCACACATTAGAGGTGTGTCTAGTTGCGTCGGGGGTCATTAAGTATGTCATGATGTCATTACATATGCCATAGTGCACTATAACAAATTATAAAATTTATTCTTTACGTTTTACTACAAAGTCCTTGTGCACGAATTTCGGAATTTCATGCACTTTCTTTTTTAGTTTTCTCACTTTTTTTCACCATCTATTTATTGGTATTTCGTTGGAAGAAATTTTTAGTGCTAACTAAATAGTTTTAGTGTGGAAATCTCAGCGTGCTGTCGATTATTTCTCTCTACAAGTCATAAGCAATGATGATCTACTGCACTTGTATGCATATTGGGCACATTTGGAGGCTACTCTTGGCAAAGATTTTGTTGCTGCTCGAGGTGTCTGGGAAAGCTTGATTAAGAAAAGGTATGCTTATTTATTCTCTTTATTGCTTACCTTTCTTTTTAAAACAGTCATTTTAGCTCATTATGGTACAGTGACTACTGTGATACTTCCATCATTAATCATTAAACATCTACATAAATTGTATCTTTTATTGTAGTTGGTCATTGTTCTCACGGAATAACTGGGTAGTTCATGATATATTTCTCTTTGACAAGTATTATAAGTTAAGCTGTTGCTTATTTCTTTCCATTGATTGTATTCAGCGGCTCATTGCTAGAAGCGTGGCAAGGTTACATAGCAATGGAAGTCAGAATGGGCCATATTAATGAGGCAAGATCCATTTATAAAAGATGTTATAGTAAGAGGCTTCAAGGAACAGGTTCTGAGGTATTGAACTTATGCTTTATATTTCTCTTTTACTATTTTTTTAGCATCATTAGTATCATTGAAATTATAATCATACCGGGATGTTCAATATGTGCTCTTGGTTGACAAGCAAAGCTAAAAAGAAGAATTTCTCGCAGATTTGTTTTGGATTATAAAATGTTGGACTGCTTTTACTGTGGTGCTGGCCTAATGCTTTTTGAGTTATTTTATTTATGCTAGTGCTCTCTTCATGCAAAATGCTTGCTCATTTTGGAGTGGGCTCTGTTAATAAAGATCTATTTTTCCATGCAGCACATTGTCATGGAGGTCATTATTTTATATGTTTCATTTGCAAGTGAAATTGTATATTGACAAAAAATATCTAGTTTATTAAGGTACTTATTGATGGGCAAGAGGAGGAACTTGGAGAAAAACTTGTTGTTAGTCTCAAAGTCTTTCTATCTTACCAATTTTACTACGATATGTACCCAAAGTCAAAGTTCCATTGAGTTTAGTGAGTCATATGACAATATCATGTTCCTCAGGTTGATGCAACAACCCGGGAATGATGTAAATTTGGTGTTGCGGCTGCAAAGTAACAACTTGGGGATGAAATTGCATATTTCCTCCTCTTGGTTACATTCCCACTTCTTTGATAATTATAACAAGCATTTCCTTCTGAATAAAAGAAAACGTGTTCTTCCAGTCTTTTGCCACTTTTGATGTCTTCCTCACGAGACAATATTGCTCTGATGCTAACACCATGTTTTGGTTTTGAGGTTGATTCTTTCTTAAACCTCTATTCTTAAAAGAAGACTTCATTACCTGCCAACTGAAATTCAGTTCAATTATGATTTTACAAGCTAGAAGTGTCAAGATTATTTGTTGTTAAGTGGCTGGTTCAGCTTGACTCATCAATTAGTGTTTACTGTGAGCTGGTTGCATGGTCTGTATAGAAGAGAATTTCATTTGATGCTATAATAAAATATTCTTTGCTGAACCCGATGGCATCCCTCCCTCTCACACCTGCTACTCTCCCTAGCTTTGAACACCAGCTACGTTACAATTCTTGTATGCATTGTGGAACTTCGAATAATTTTGTTATGACTTTTGCTTCTTGTCCAAATAGAAGAATAAGGCTAATGGATGGTTTGCTTAAAGAAATACAGGATGCCGAAGGCATGTGACAAGAATAGGTGGAGAAAATTAGACCATGAATTTAAAGATAGAGTATGCTTTGCTATTCTTAACTTGATAACTTTACCCTTTTTGCATATTTGATAAATTTATCTGCATCCTAAAGTTCTTTTGATGCTATGACACATATAGATACAGAAGAACATCGATTTTTGTATGTTCAGCACGATATCTTTAGTTTAAACATTTTCAATGGACTGAATAATTTAAGGATTTTTTTTTCTCATCATGCTTCGATTCTTTTTGGTGACGATCTTACATTACGCATCAATGTTTTAAAATCTCCAGTTGTTCCTTTTCAGTTCCTATTTATTTTATGGCGTAAGATTATATTACGGACAATTTTTTTCCTAACTCAGAATGATTCAGGACATTTGCCACTCTTGGTTGCGATTTGAAAGGGAATATGGCACTTTGGATGACCTTGATCTTGCGGTAAAAAAGGTATGCTTATTCTGTAGCTCGGAATTGGGCTCATTTGCAATCGGTAATACTAATGACATCAAACCATTTCCCTTTCTTAGCTGTAAAATTTTGCCTTGTTCTTGTCACATATATTCATTGCACATTTGTTAGTATTTTTTTTTAATTTGAAGTGTCACATGTTTTTTTGTTTCTAGTGTAATAGGAATTGATCGTTGACTAGATAGAATGATTTTTTTGAAGATTTCTAATCTAATTTTCAAACTAAAATTTGCATTTGAGAATAACCATGCATAAAAAAAAACTATTTTTATTTCTTGTAAAAGTGAACCTTTCTGTTAATTTCTTTTTCTTTGGTTGTATTAGCAATTGAGTGGTTGACAGGACTATGTTGCCCCGTGTTAGCTGGTGAGGCGATGAGTGGTTGCCTACTTTTTCTGGCTATGCTTGGCGACACTCTAGAAGCTCTAGTTGTTGCCCAACTTGCCTAACAATGGAATGGCGCTCTGTTTTAGGCAATCACTAAATAGTAAGAGATTATGTTAGAGTTGAGATTTATTAACCAAGGGACAATTTCATCTTAATAATCAGCATTTTATGTTATCAAGGGGACAAATGAATTGCCAAATAGGAGGACTATGGACACCATTTTGGAATATATCATGTTAGCGGGATAGAATAGGGGATCTTCGAATTAACAATCTGGGGCATGTCTACTTCTTTTCAGACATTATGGGGCTATATTTCCTTCCTCAATTTGTTAAGAATTGGATCTTCAATTTTGAAAAGATTGTGGCATTCGGTCAATCATGCAAAATACATTGTTTTTTGATTCCTTGCGATAACAATGACCAAGTGAGAACTGTGTTAAATCATCAAACCAAGATGGCTAGGAGTGCATTAGTTTGAGGTTTGTGAAGATTAATGAGATGGAAAATAAACTACCCTTGAGCATTACTCAATGAGAAAGATAGACAGGCAGATAAAGGGAGAAAAGTGAACATGAAAATAAAGAGTTTTATGATGTTTCGGTTGTGTCACTTAAGCTATACAATTTATTGAGGAGTTTTATTAGATTCTTTGTGAGATACGTTGATATTAGAGTTTACCCAGATCATGACGCGAGACACAATTTTATTAATGACTTAAACAAATGTTATAGTGAAGACTCAAAGAAATGAAGACAACACACAAAACAAAAAACGTAAAATAAAGGATTGCAAATAAAGACTCGACAAAAGAAGATGCAACAAGCTTGACAAGGAGAGAGCCCGGGTGGTGGTGTAAGCTTGGTGGCTTTGGTGAGGGCAGAAGAGGTGTCTTGCTGCTATGGAAGGGAGGACAACAAATCAACGATGGTAGGGAAGTCAAAACACAGTTGGAGGGAGCTTGGAAGGGCAACAGTGGTTGCGGCCTGCAGGGAAGTTGTAGGAAGGAGGCATAGCCTACTGAAGGAGGGAGATGAGCAGCATGTAGAGGTGGCCGGGAGGCTGCTGTTGATGCGGAAGAGGGGCAGCGGGGGCTACAGCCTGCAGAGAGCTGTAGAGAGGAAGTCCGACGAACAATGTGAGGCTGGAAGGCTGTCGGTGGTTGTGGGGAGACGGTAGAAGTGGTTGGGGTTCGCTGTAGGAGCTGGATCGAGTATATAAAGATCTTGAAGGTTGTTTGTAAAAGACAGCTTTTGTATGTCTCATAGTTCAAATTTTTACTATAAATTTGCTTGACTAGAGAACCCATGTTTAGTTGGCGTAATAGTTCATCAAGAGGTGGAGGCCTCATCAACTTTTTTTCTAGAGATATTGAGGATTATAACTCCAAAAGATGGGATTTATGGCTATGCCATATGGATATGGCGACCCTCTTGAGAATATTCATGTTATTAATGAATTTAATTTTTGAAAAATAAGATTTGCAATATAAAAGCTTTGATTTTAATAGGTATTCTCCCTGCGGTTATAATGTGTGGTTATCATGCCCACGGTAGGCGTTTTGGATGATTCCATTTCACCATTAGAACGTTGTCATCACGCGTATTATTTTCACAGAGGATTGGATTCATGATTTGCATATGATTTGAATATATTTAAAAATTTATCTGTTTTATAGAGTTTGTGATACTGGAGTTCACTCAAATTCTAGTAGGCGAACATATATTATTACACCAATACAATAAGGTTACAATCAAGGCTTAAAATATGAAAAGAAATACAACACAATACAAATCTCCGGCTAGGGTGAGTTGGGACGGTCGATGAACATTGATGAAAGGGCCTGTATAGTTGCGGCAAGTTGGAAGAGGGTAGGTAGGATTGCGATTAGGGCAGCAAGAGGGTGAGGGGTTTGCTAGTGGAGCTAGAAGCATGTGTGGCGGTTGTGGTGGTTGTATGGGTCGCAAACTAGAAGTTTTGTACCTGCTTGTCTCTTGCATGCCTGTAGACACGTCTGTTTCATGCATGAAGCTTCTACACAAAGGATGCCCTTGACGTCGACTTCCAACATGGCATCAAATCTTAGGAATGAGAAGTAGTAGGCTTCTCTTACTAGCCGTTCGATCCCGCATGAGGCTTTGACCAGGGTTGCACATGCAATGTAAAACACTTCCTTCTTTCTTCTCACATTGCCTCTGACTCTCGTCCTTGATCCCGTTCTCTCCATCGGCTCCCTTTCCCCTCACTCTCTAATCTCTTTGTAGTTCTTAATCACTTAGTTTGATTCAATTGAGACACTTGCCTCTTAAGAAGAAGGAATTGTAGAGATGGATGCTTTCCTTTGAAACGACCCTAAATACATCTTTATTATTTATTTATTTATTATTCTTATTTATTATTTTATTTTTTAAACATAGTTATTACATTCTTCCATTCTCATAAAATTTCGTCATCGAAATTTATGAATTTCATAAAAACTAATCATTATGTAAATTAAACATGAACTATTCATGAATCTTTAAGAAAGTTTAATTCTCGTTAAGTGATAGGAAAAACATGTATGATAAATATAATATTTGAAGTAACATAATTTAATTTAAAAAAATCCAAACATCTAAAACATAATAACATAACTAAACTAACACAATTTTTGAAATCAAAATACATAATGATACTCAACACCAGGTAATTAACATGACATTCATACGACAAACACTCATCAAAGTTTATGCATTAGCATTAGGGGCAACATGTTCTTCAAATTCCTAATGAGTTAAGGAAATGACTCATGATCAAATATTCTACCTTGATTGCTCTTTATCAGTCACTAAACCAGCTTCTGTCATTCTTTACTGACCACTTCTAAAAATAGATCTCACTTGAAAATTTCTCTGAGCTGTATCTTTTCCCGAGATAACATGTGCGGATCTCTGAGCAGAATTAGGGCAATTCCTCATCCGATATCCAAGCTATCTGCATAAGTAATACACCTTAAACCAAATAGACATTTACCACGGTACAACTTACCACACTTAGCACAAGGTTCTGAAGTGATGTCGTCATCCTGACTATTAACTCCATCAACGTATGATCATCTTCTGCTCGTTAGATAATCTAGAATGAATTATTGGGGTCACATCTTCCAAGCTCTTCCTCTTGTGTTTGTCTTTACGCTTCTGAGTTTGTTGAAAATCAAATTCCACCCGCCTAACTCTCTCCACTAGCACTGAGTAGTCTTCATTTCCAAGTGGCACCAGTGGCTATCTGATTGAATTTTTAAGCCTGTTAAAAACCTATGACACTACTCAATATTTGGAACCAACTAGGGTGCATACCTTAAAAACATAGTGAATTCAACTTCATATTGCATAATTGATCAATCTCTCTGCACCAGTTTGATAAATTTTTCTAGCATTTGCTTTCTAGCTAAAAGTAGTATGAACCAATCTCTAAATGTGTTCACAAACTCATTGAAATGTATCAAGTGGTTGGTTCTACCTCCAAAACTCTTATGTAATTGTCATCGCCGCCATCTCTCTGCTTCTCTCTCAAAGGAAAAAGTGGTAAGTGTATCCCTCTTCTCTGGCGGACAAGACAACACATCTATAATCTTTTTCACTCTTATCAACCATTTCTCAACATCCACTAATCTAAATGTGTTCCCAAACTCATCCCACTGTATCAAATGGTTGTTTTTACCTCCAAAATTCTTCTGCAACTATCATCGCCACCATCTCTCAACTTCTCTCTCAAAGGCAAAAGTGATAAGTGTAGCTCTCCTCTTTGGTGGACAAGACAATTATAATCTTTTCCACTCTCATCAGTCAGTTCTCAACATCCACTGGACTTTTTCTTTCAGAAAAAAGAGGTGGCCTCATTTCATGAAGCAACTTTAAATATTTATCCATCTGTCCTCACCATTAGAATTGGCCTGAGACTGAGGGTTCCTAATTATCTTAGTCACTGCAGTCATCTTGGCAAAAACATCAATATGGACAATAATATTCTGGGGCATGTCAATTTATACAACATCATCTTTGATCTCTTTCTCTTAATCCATAACTCTAACATAAAAGCAAAACAATCTAATTAGAATTAGTTTATATTTTTTATATCTTAATTCAATAATCATAATGGCTTTTTTATTAAGATTTATGTTGTTTATTCTAAACATTGTTCTGATACCACTTGTCATAACCTAACTCAGGGTTTAAAATTAACAAAGGCGAGAACATAAGGTTAGATAGTAGAATTAAATTTTTCTTTATTCAATTTCTTTTGCTAACAATTTAATACTTGTATATTAATTGAAAGAGCCACCAAGAAAAGCACTTTAATTAACAAGTAAAAGTTTTTTCTTTTCCGGTTATTGAGCTCGCCTTCTTGTGTGTATTGACTCTTCTTCTAATCATCTTATTCAGAAGATTAAAACCTGAAAAAATATAATGAAGCAACATAATAAGTTATCTAAAGATAACTCAGTTGAACAATCACACTTTTAAATTGTAGTAACCCATGGAAAACAATATAATTTGTATGCTGGTCTTTCATATTTCACTATATAAGATATTATAATAATCTAATGTTTGTGTCAATTACTTTTATTCAATGGAAATAACTTAATATTAATTTTAGCTGCACACTTCAAGGTTTAATCTTTAACTTTATTTTTATTTCATATTATTAACATTTACTTCAATCTTAGGAGCACGTCAAAACATAATTTAACTCACCCTTGACCGATATTATCTCTCGTGATCTAATTTACATGATTGTTTAGATGGAATGGTGCATACCTCCCCTGACCGATATTCTCCCCTTAATACTACTGTTAGATATCTAAACATCATAATTATATAGGGTGGTAGGACAACATCTACGTGTGTGGGTACACTTCCGTCCCCTGCTTCCACCGTAATGCGTTGAACTCATCTTAACATGCACATTTAAGAATTCATATATATACACTTTGACATTCTTCATATCATACATTCTTATCTTATAAAATATCTTCTCCATCTACTGATGAATAAATGCATTAAACTGATATATGCACCCATACTATAATCTACATATCATGTAGTTGAAAAAATATTTTTTAAGAAAACTATAATGCAACTATTTAACATGTACACTCTT